GATTAGGATGATGGATTCGCTTTCAAGGAAACTGAGTTTATGACAAACAGTTCTTCAAATGTCGTTTAGCAGGAATAGAGAAGGACAACGAATAAAGCATTTAATCGAGCATTTATAGTATGACGTTCAATGCATGCTAGAGTAAATCCCAAAGTGAGGTCAATAAGCTTGAATGAGCATCGATCTTTGATGATTAGAGATGTCCACAGAAAAAGCTGCCGTGTATGACTTCTGCTCAAATTTTTCATTTGCGTAGAGTGTATGTCATCGAAAAACATCTTCGGCATTTCTCCTCGGACGCCGTGGTAAGGTTTCGTATCAGAATTTTGCATGGTTTCTGTACAGCGCTTCTGAATATACGTGCTCATCTTTCTTTCTATGGAACAAAATCTGAGTGAGGTAATTCATGAACGTAACCCCGCAAGAACGATGGAATCTGAAATGATGAAGTTGTATTCAGAATGAGGTTGTTTTGACAGATATGAACTCATTAGATCAGTTATTGATGTGAATTACGTTGATTTTTTTTCTACACAGTTATATTGGCTGTGGACAGTTTGATGCAGTCATTTACCCAGAGGTACTGCTCCCATTGGTTACATTAGCCGTGGGCGTGTGGCTACTTACCGTAGTCATTTAACTATGGAGGTACTGCTCCGGTTAGATGCATTGACTGTGGGTATGGCTAGTTACCGAAGCCTTTTCACCCCGGACGTACTACTCCCGTAGCTTGCTTTTACTGTGGGCGCTGCTAAACATTCAAACAACTCATATTAAATCAATACTTGCATCTGTAAACTTATTCTTTGAAGCGTGCATTGCAGAGGAAATAAATACAGTTCTTTTTTCTTCTTTCCAAATTTTCATATGCTCCGATCACACAATGGGACCACTCATTCTGTAGAGTCGAGTCGCTGACTGGTGACTCGAAGCCTCAGGTGTTTGTTATTACTCGCCGAAGCTTATCTATTAGCTTTTAATGAGCAATTTGGTAGTAGTCAGTGAGGAAAAATAAATTTATGAACTCCTGCAAATGATTCCAGGATGAATTATTCCTCTTTCAAGTAGATTTCGTGAAGGATTATAGTTTTTTGCCAATAAAATTTCGAAAAATGTGCATTCTCGGGTATATTTTGTTCCGTAACAAATTTTGTTCGAAAACCTATCAATGAATCAACAAAAATAGACCACAATGGGTAAAGGCATCCTCAGTAAAGGGAACAAACAATGCGAGTTCGGTTCGTTTGGCAATCCAGCACTGCGCTAGAGAATGGCTTCATCTCAGAAGCGAGTGATTTATATTAGCGATGGGAACTGAAGGAGTGGAAGACAATGATAAAAAGTTGGCGTAATTTGATACAGGTATTAATTTTCCTATGATGAACCTCAGGCTAATCGCGGGGTAATCTCCGGCCTGAGCCCAAGAGAAGCCTCAAGATGGGTTAACCCTCAGCCTGACTATATGCACGGGATGACCCTCTGTTTGAGCTTTACCTTAAACATGTTTTATCCAATAACAGAAAGAAAAAATTTATTATATTTGGCATCAAAGCCAAGGAAATACTGCACTCATAAGTTTTGAATTGTTCCGAATTGAGATACTCTCCAGATTTCGAATTGAGATGAAATCGAAATTTCGATGTGGCTCAATAAAGGGAGGTAAAATCAACACTTTTCAAGCCACATCAACACAAATCATTTCTTCATAACTTCTCAGCACAAAACATTGAATTAAATATACAAGAAAGTTTTGGACTATGACATGTAAACTGCATAAGGAACAGAAAATTCGTAGGAAGATCCATCAAAATTGGAATGATCAAAGAAATGAGTAGCGTTAATGTCAACGAATGTCATTATTCTGCTTCGTCATCACTCAATACAATACGTCTTTTCCGCAACCGCAAATTTGAGTAATCGATATTTTCACCATTTTCACTTTCTTCATCTGATAACTGCGGCTGCTCATTGAACACGCGTTTCACTCGTTTCATTACTATCTGGAATGAACTTATTGAACAAAATGTGAGTTTAATGGAAGCAATCAGCACATAATTATTGTTTCATTACCCTGTTTCATTAATGTTCATTTCGAAACGACAAACAGACCAATTTACACAACCTGATATGAAAAATTTTACTCCATATGAACAATACATCCTTCTACACTTACATCATAATCCACTTATTTTATTAATCACATTAATACATCTAAATCTAACTGAATGAATGAAAGAAGTGAGCATTGTTAGCTCCTCATCTGACATCATTCAAAGATATGACTATAAGGAAAGAAATTACTCCTCGTGAACCGATTCAATATTCATTAAGGTAAGTAATGTGAATGAAATTAAAAAATTGCAAATTATCACCGCATTGAAATCAGGATAACATAAGGCATGTTTCATTTCCCAACATGATGTTTGAAAAATGATACTGCACATAAATCGTGGAAGAAGAAATTATTGATTGTAAAATTAGCAAATTAAAATTTAAGGTAGAGAAAAGAAGGTTGAACCGAATAATTCACCTCGTCGTCATCATTGTCATCAACAAACGAAGAGTCTTCCATTAACTTCAATTGCTCATCTTCTCTGTTTTGCTGCAATCAAGTTGATTATTCTGCCTTTAAGCGCATTTCAATAGCTTTAACAACTTCACCGGATTACATTAATCAAATCACGTTTTTAGCCCTTGCATAAGGTATGAAGATCCAAGTGCAAATTTGATTATAATATCGTAAATCAATAAAGTTTATTAAGCGATATTCTCGTCACCAAACTAATGTTTCACAATGTTGAGCATTCACAAACAACTTATCAAATAATAACCAAAATCGGGACATTATTCAATGAATGTCTCGAAGACGGCTTGTCGGATGCCTCAGCTATGGACTGTGAGTTCCAACTTTGTTGAATACATTTTTCTTGGTCGATTTTCTGCAAAGCGAGACGTTTAAATAAACAAGTGTTTTCAGCGTTTAGTATGCATTCATACCCAGTATATACTTATGCTCATTTATACCCAGATATCAGGAGGTTATACCACAATCACGAAAAAAAAACTCACGAATTCAGAATGAGAAGAAGCATCAGCCTTATCGAAGGAATCTTCATCATCAGCTATAGACGGTGAAGAATCTCTCGAATCCTAAAACATCGAAACATTATCAGCAAATTTCATTCACTGCAATTAGTAACTTGAACAACCTACACATGACAAATAATGAAACCGGTAGTTACAACTAATCCTCTCTCCCGAAGTGAAAATATTCAGAAATTTTTGGAAATATTGCTTTGATAAATTGACTGATGAATGGGTCAAGAAGTGATGAAAGCGAACTAATTAAACACGTAATCGACTGATCAAGAAATCGAGAATGCTTACCGAAGCTGATGTAGCACGTTCACAGATCTGTTCGTTATACTCACTGCCCGCTTCCAACAATTGCGCTTGTTTATCCAATTTCTTCGTTCTGCAAATTCACGAACAGATTTCATTTCCAATTCCTCACAAAGTACTAACTACTAATTCCTTTTGCTAGAAGTATATTCTTAAACTTCTATTACATCATTTCAACAGGACAAATGAAACAGATGTATAAGAACGGACACAATAGGTGGTCACTGGGCTGCATCAGAAGATTGCACATCACACTGAATAAAGCTGGTACAAAAGTAAATTGAAGCAATACAAAATTGTGAATTTTCAGCACATACATACTAGCCGTTGTCTCTTTTTGGGTACAACCGAACGACAAGATTATCAATATGAGACAAAAATAAAATCAAATATCACAATACCTTTTCGGCTTCATCTGCGACATATCAACCCCAATTTCAAGCAGTTTACAAATCACATCACGTCGCGATCGCTTTTCACTCAATCGTGCAATCACATAATCGACGATGCCATCTGAATCGATATTAGTGAAAATCACTCAGATTTCACTTCAAATGAGCATTTATCGAATACAAGAAACAATAATCACTATCAACAAACGATCACTTAAATTCCATATCTGTGTTGCTTCATGCTCAGTTTTTGATCAATCGACACTGTCGAAAATTAACTTCGTTGAACGATTAAAAATGACTGGCATAAGCAAAATTAATTCGCCTCGTTGAACGAACCAAATACGTTTCAATAGAATGATAATAAAGGCGATGAAACATATATATGATTACATTGTGGCTTCTCGTCGACTTCGTTGTATTGCGCTTTCAGTGATTGCAATTCGATGAGAAGAAGTTCAGACCACGGTTTTGATACTTTTGCGGAACTGTAAATTAAGGCATTACTAGTTTGATTACTTTATGGAATAACCGACGATCATTCATTGCAAAAGAAATGAATTTAAAGTGAATTTGTTTCGGAGCATCGTTCATGTTCTATGATTACTAATGAAGAAATGTGATAAAAAATGTATGACACGATATTCACATGAGGCAGAACCTTTCAGCTGAGTACAGCTTTGAATGTTCGTAACCCATTTCGATTAGTTTTGCGCGAATATCCGAGATGGTTCGCTTCTCGGTTAGCCGATTCTTTATATAATCTATCAACGAACCTAAATAACTGAATGATTAACTGCAATCAAAATCTGATCAGTTTAGGTAATCAACCAAGAAACTATCCGATCAGATAAAGATACCGCATACAAGAAATTAGTCTGTGCAGGAAATAAATAAACGTTCGCATACTTGGCTTTTCGATGAGTTCTTCATATTGCTCGGCAAGAGATCGCAATTCAATGGTTAATACTTCGTGCCATGGTTTGCGACGCCTGGAACTTGTTGTTTTCACCATCCAAAAATCACAAAAAAATCTAGGCAAGGCAATGCGTTGATAAAACAATGCACTGATATGATAAAGATAACTGAAAGAAACAGATTACAAATTTGACTTTATACATTGATTTAATAAATTCGTCAATTAATCAGTTACCGTGCAACTGTCTTTCGATTATACTCGATGTTATCATAGTGTAACTGTTTTATGATCTGCGCTCGACTATAACACTCTGACAGTCGTTTGCGAATATAATCCACCAGATCTTCTATAATTCAATGCAGATGATCTATGTAGTCAATAACAATAAAGTGCAGAAGTAACAAACGAACGACTGACTAGTGACTCAACCGATGACAATTTGCAAAATGAAAACTTACCCCGGTTTTCGTCAGAAGGCATTGATTGAAACTGGTCAACAAGTGTTTTCATGTGACTCACGACATCCGGTGAGAACACATTTGACTTACACTTTCGAGTAATCGCGCTAAAACAAATCAGATCATTGCTGCCCAAATTTAGAAGCCATTGGTTTGTTTCCACCTTTGAATCGGCTCTATTCAGAGAATACGTGCTTCGTAAACAAACATTTTATTTGATAAAATCAATGGTGCTTCAACGATTCAATTTATTTTACGAGTCGACAGAATAACTCCGCACGATGATTTTGAGTAGGTAATAAAATGGGACATGAGACAAACCAAAGAAAACCATACCTATCTTTGACTTTCGCTCCAAAAGTATCCAATCCCAACGATTTCAACTCTCTGATGATTTGTCTGCGAGTCCGTTGACGTGAAAGGTTACTTTCAATGAATTCAACCACGTCGATTCCTCAAAACTTTTCCATTAAGCAACCGTTCAATCAAATAATCAACACTGCTCCTCTGGTAATTTTTAAATACAGTTCAATGCAGAAAATTTATTTCAATTCAGGCATTTTTCTTACAGCAAAGAAACATCATTTTAATACTAGCAGAGATTTGGTGAATGACGATTAAATGGGCAATGTTCCGTTAATCAAATAAGTTGAGGGATAATCATATTACCTTCAGCTTTATCTTCACATCCCACATATTCATCATATAACGAATGCAGTTCATTACTCAATTCCTCTGTCCAGGCGACCTCATTCCTTTCTTTCTCGTTTATTGATGTTCTGAAACAATAACCTATCAGTATGTTTCTATTAACTTATACTACTTTGTCACATCTCTTCCAAATTGCGAATTATCAACGTCATACCAACTCATTCATTCTTTCTTCGAAATTCTGATGGAAAACCTACCGTTATTTTTTTAAAATCCGCCGCCATATAAGAAGGAATTCCAGCTAGCTTATCTCTAAGAATGCATTAGTGACTAGGTTAAGTTTCAAACTACTAACTCGTATGATCCATATCCATGCTCTAGATCATAACACTCTTTTGGTCCCTTCCAAAATAACAGTTCAGGTATAAGCTTAGATCCAGTGGTTTCATATCTGGAGAAGAACTGTTTGAGAAGATGATAGCCGAATTCATAGACACGGAATAAACGATCCTCTTTCTTCACGTGTAACGGCATTTTGCAAAAATATTCGCCTAAGCGTATGAATATACGGAATAATGAGACCTTAACAAAGCAAAACAATTATTGTACTGAAATAAAAACTTTACTTATTGTCATGCAGTGCTTTGAATTTGTTAATGTAAACACAACAACTGAATGAATCATGCTTAAATGAAGAAGATACTTGGAAGAGCCGTGGCATTTGCCCTAAATCAAATGCAATTCGATGCAGCAGTTTAATGATCGCTTTGTTAACTTCCATTGAATTGGTTTCATAATCATTCAATAAGTACACATACCTGAAATATTGTCGACAATTTGAAGCAACTTTTTTCTATTATTGATATAAAAGAACCGCTATCAAAACACTTGTTGTAATAAAATAACGAAGTTGTTCGCTAGTCATGAAAAAGAAGCGAGTTCATAAAAATAACAACAAAATAGACCAGGAGAAAAAAAATAACCATTTCAAGATATCCGAACGAGCGAACTTTGAGAGGTATTCATTGAAACTGAAATCAATCTCTTTGGTAATATAACGTGTTGTTTCTTCATCATCACTCTCATCCTCATCCAATTCATCATCAAATAATAAAGATCCACCTCCTTCGTCTTCATTTTCATACCCATAAACGTCATCATGCACTTTCTTCCATTCATTCTTCACCTTAAAAACTCACAAGAGTATTTCATTAGCTAATCAAAGTTTATTTCAGACCTAATCGAGAAACTATTAAGCACCTCTTCAAGGTCAGCAAAATATATCATTCGTAGTCCAATAAATTCCTCTTCCGATAACATTTCATTTGAACCGAAGATATGGTCGAATGGCCAAAGCAAACGTGCACTACGATATAAACCAACGGCATCCTTGACTCGCCTTTCACGTAGTGCATTTTGAATGAACAGTGCTGCGAACTGCCTTCAAAATAATTCAAAATTTATTCAGATCGATTCCAAATTTGAAATGAAATTCTTCACGAAAATAATTGATCGCACAACACTTTACAAAAAATGTCGAGGTGGATGAATGCATTGTGAACGGATTACTTACTTATGACAGTCATCAGTAACTTGTAGACGTACATCAATTGCACTCACGTCATCACATGCCGATTCATAACCATTCAGAATATCACACAATTCTTCACTTATTATTTCCCATGTTTCGTCTACGTCAACTTCATCACCTTCATCTGAACCGACCTCATTCAATCATATCGAATTTCATCACAAATACCAAATTCATAGTATTTCATAAAAAACAAGTATGTAGATAACAGAATGTTTATCAATTACCAAACGTTGCTAGATCTTTGAGTCGTTTTTTTCTCACTTTACGCACTTTTTGGCGTTTCATGACTTTGGCTAATGTTCCCGATTTGACACCCTTCTCGAGCACTATCATATAAGTGTGATTTGCAAGGATCAAATCGCGCAAGAACACCTTCGATAGAATACCAGGCTAAAGAAAGTGAAAATCTACTCGTATGTAACATTTCTGACAACTGAGAGACGTCTTCAATACCATAATAACAAACTCAGAAAAGAACAATAAAAACACTAGTCAAGTAAATTGAATGAAAGATTCGTTTGTTAGTTGTAGCAGTTAAAATTACGACAAAAAGCTTTGTTGTTCCAGGCGAATTAATCTTAATAAGAACAAAACAATCAAACCATGAATTGTCGAATAACTGAGCTTGACAAATCACGATATTCTTCCACCATCATAATGTGCTTACAAGTTGCTTCCACTTCTTCTTTATCTTCATCATTTCCACTTTCCATCATAGACCGCAATCTAGAAAAATCTTTATTTCGAATAGCAACAATCATCCTACGTGGAACGGGAAAAGACAATTCAATGTGAATCGAAAACGAAATTAATCAGAGTGTGTGAGCAAACGTACGTGTAAAGAAGTTCCTTGTAAGCAGTAACAGCATACTGCGCCTTCATACCATGAATACGTCCTTCTCTACGGTCAGCATGTGCTGATTCCAAATAGGAATCCAACTGAGTTTGAACACGATGAAAGGCTTCCTTTCCTAGTGTAGCAGAAACCTCAAATCGAATATAATATTTACCAAAGTAATATTAAAGCATTTAATATTACTTCCCATTCCCTCACTCCGTTGCACCATAAGATTACCGTCTTATGAAGACTTACAAAATTTGTTGGGAATGATCCGATTCGTCTGTATTCCATGAAGAAGCGCATTACAACAAAATAATGAATGTCTAAGTTGCGCTGATTCAACGTTTTTCGACCATGAAGAGCCTGAAGTGTTCGGATAAATTCGAATTTGACAATCACCAAAATTTTTCTCCCATCATTTGCGATTTTTTTTCATCCTTCACGGAGTGCGATTGCTTTTCGGCACAAAAAAACCACATAAAACAGATATTTTGCATTGATCAACCTTACAAAAATATTAAAGTTTGAGAAATGCATCAGTATTATTACTGATACAATTGTAACGTTCAAATAAGCTGAAAAGCCATAAAAGAGACGATTAAATGCAAATGAGAAACGTAATCATGAAAGGAACAAATTATAAAACATACGGCATCTGTGCACGAATTCATCAACTGGTTATAAGCATTACGAAGAAACTGATCGCAGAATTGTTTCAATGCTAACATCACATCCAACGTCGCCGAATGCGTCCTTTGATGACCATCGAACATTCGACGACTCTTCGGATGACGTCTCTTTCTTTTTCTTTCATACAAATGCTCTACACCACTTGTGATGTCTTTGACTACCCTTCAATCAATTAATGCGATAAATTCGAATAAATTCGAATAAACATTCGATAAATCTTATGTGATTACTTGCGTGTAACAAGATCATGCTCAGGATTTAATGCTTTCACTCCTTTCATAACGTATGAACCAGCGAATGATGTTGGTCTTACACCCAATCGACGTCGTGTACTTAAAACTTTTTCTGACTCGGCTTTAATACATCTGCGCAAATCTTCTTCATCTTTTGCTCCTTTCTCCACCGAACGTTCAACACCGGCTGATAAAATATCGAACGTATTCTAAAATCGTTAATGAAGCAATCCGAAATTTCACAACTTTTGTGTGCCACAACTGAATTATACACACACTAATTCGAATTTAATCTGAGATTTTATAAATTTAAAATCATTGAAGGGATTTGGAAAAGCAACTTGTCACCGTAGAAGAATTCAGAGTAAACTCACATAATGTTTGACGGTGAGAGCGATGATGTTTATCAAGAGTAAATGAAAATCACATTCTGACTTCTGAGTAGCCATATCAACGAATAAATCACTAAAACCACTACTCAAAAGAGCGAATATAACTCGATCGGTCACATATGAATCCATCATCACATTCTTAATTTTAAAATGATTTATTATAAATGATGAGAATAAGTGCTGCTTGCAAATAGTACAACAAAACACCCAACGAGATCATTTCAGATTTCATTTCATCGATACCTGATTCGGATCTTCTTCATACTCGCCTATTTCTAACATATATTCGATAAGAACCAATATCCTTTCAACAACCAGTTTTTCTGATATACTTCTATCGCACCAATCCTTCAAATATTCCTTCTTTACATTCAAAACTAATGAATACTAGGTCATGATATATGGCAATTGAATATTTTTCACAGTTCATTTTCATGTAAGCGGAACGCGACAAAATTCAATATTTTTATAATAGAACATTTTTCATAATTGTTTACATATTTTTCATAATTGTTATTTCATAACTGAATATTTTTCATGTAAGCGAAACGCGACAACTGACCGATTCAAAATATGACGAAACTCTCTGATGAAGAATTTTCATGAAATCCACATCTGAGAACGCTTTTTTAGCTAAATCCAAATTCTTCTCCAGCTGCAATATGCAATCTACACATTTGAAAATACCATTAAACCTACAGAAATTCAAATTTTACAGATCGAAGTAATCAGCTTCTGTGCATGAAAACGAGTTCATTTGAATAAAATGGAAAAGAATCCATTGAGATAACTTCTAATGAGGGTGCTCTCATTTTAACAACAAATATCGATAGGCAGATTTAAATGAGCCTCTAAATTCCTTGCGTCGTCTCAGTATTCGAAATGAGGGGTGGTTGTTTCATATTCCGAGACACAGACATCCAATCTCAATCCATTTTCTCAACTTATCCGTGTAAAATAACCTTCATCAGCCATTCGGTGAATATAATTCCAAACCGTTAAGAGTTACAAAAAAACTGGTTTAAAATGGACAATATTAAAGATACCTCCCAAAATAATTTCCACTCCTCCTTATTCTCCGGTTTTTTTCCTCGGAGCACGGTGATTGTTGGCTGGCACAGGTTCACCGTAAGTCTATAAGAAAGTTGCAAAAATGTGAACTGTAAACATGAAAATTTGAAAGAAAATGCTCTTAATTACATGGTTTTGCTTCTACCAAAGATCCACAAACATTCCTAAAATTTCAGAACGAATCGTGAACTTTTTAAAAATGGTCTACGATAAGGGACCGAATTCATTGAAGAGCTTCCAGAAGAAGGAAATATATGTGTACATGATTTTTAATGAAAATATTACATAAAATTTAGGAAGCCAAACATAACGATGACATTGGCAACGTAAAAACAGTGCTAATTACCTCAAAGCAGCATCGAAAAGATTTTCCTTGACATCTGCTAACTTCATAATTGGTATGAGATCATTTTTTACGATGTTGTGTTCACCACACAAACGACGTGCCAAACCAGAAGATGTATCATATCGTAAAAAACGAATCAATTCTCGAATACTTTCTAAAAAAATGATAAACTTAAATGCTGAAAACCCTAAACATGCACAGTGATAACATAAGGTTCTGAACGTAATCTGATTATTAAAATCGTTTTCCAGATGTTTTATTTATCAAGAAAGTACTTACTTATTGTTAAACACAAGTTCATAGTGCTCAATTATTTGATTCCCAAACTCCCAAAAACAACTCTAAGAACAAACCAAAGCAATCAGATTCCGGGCTGTAGGTCCCATTTTCCAAGAACCCTAGCCCATTGATAATGGATTGTATTTGCGATTCCATTTGAAGTGATGAATATAGTGCCGATTATCGAGACGAGAATATCGGGGTCAAAAATCGTTACGACAAAATGAGCAACGTAATACTTCAAATGGGATGAAAGTTCCTGAATGCAACCTCATTATAATGAAAACGAAACACAGATAGTACGTAAACGATTTTGGTAATTCTTTATATCTTCAGTCAAATTGCAAACCAGTGAACGACTATTGAGATTCATATACCTTTGGAGGTACTCTAACTAAACTGTCAACCGAGCAAGTGTTGTTAGCTGATCTAATAACGAGTAATTGGAACAAATTTATTCACACTTCTTTCCAGTTTCCTTTTTTGCACCTTCACTATTTGTATTCATTTTTTCCCGCATTTGCGAAAACAAGCAGCGGTAATCTTGCATTTAAGGTCAGTAAAATCAAAACAGCACTTCGTTCGTTCACATTTGCAGTTAAGTGTGTGGTGTAGTTAGGCTTAGGCTTACCAACTGCGAATGTGAACGAACGAAATGCTGTTTTGATTTTACTGACCTTAAATGCAAGATTACCCAAGCAGCTGTGCAATTAATCTGAAACTGCATATGTTTGCCAGGAAATCAACATTTCTGGAATCCTTCGAATGTTGCTGATTGTGAGGTGGGTAAAGGTACAGACTGGGTACAGATACAGGCTTGCACCTAGCCTCAGTTTTAAGCTTGCAATTAGTTTTGACATATACCTCAGGAGACCAAGTACATGCTATGCGAACCGAGAGTGAATGTTGTTGACCAATGATACAAGAGCACTGCTGCGAACTGTAAAAACTACCTTAAAATTTTCAACTTAACCTAGTTTGAGAATGAGATGAAACTCGAATATGAACTTCAACATGAGTCTAAGCAGGTAAACTTGACGTCAGCCGATCCCTGGATGAAGACGTTGTTTCACAGCTCTCTGTGCATATTTACAACTGCTTTTTCGAACGAAAAGAAACGTCGAATTCAAACTAAGGTTAATATTAGTTGAAATGAATCCATGCTGTACTGTATCGACGTGCTGGGCAGTGATGGTGG